GCTTGTGTGATCTTGGGCCCAGCATCAACCTTATACCACTCTCTACCGCTAAAACCTTGAGCCACACTAGCTTTAAGAAAATTGATGTCTCTCTCACCCCTAGCTGATGGGTCAAGAAAGCAACCAGTTGGGTCTCTTGAGGATGTTCCATTGATGATTGACAAGGTGAAGGTACCAACTGATTTTCTGGTGCTAGATATAAAGATTGATGAGCAGACCCCAATCATCTTGGGAAGACCATTTCTGGTATCTGCTGGTGCTTTTTTTAATGTTAAGAAGGGCATCATTGAGTTGAGGTTGAAGGAAGACAAGGTGTTGAGGTTTGACATCAAAATGACCAAGAAGGGAGATAAGGGACAAGCTTACTTCATGAAGACTGAGGAATGGAGTTTTGCAGCTGAGAATTGGCCTCTCTCCAAGTCACCATCAACCACATTCACAGGCCACTCAGGAAAGGATCCACCAAGGAGTTCTCTACCTCCCTCTCAACCCAACTAAGGAGCAAGAAAAGTCAAGCTTAGTGATTCTAAACAAGCACTCTTGGGAGGTATTCCCATGTTATCCATGTACATATTTTTGCCTCTTAAGTTTGTGTTTGTGTTTTCCTTTGATCCTAGGAGCAGGTGGAGTTCAAAGCAAGTGGATAGTTGAATTAGTGCCAAAATCTACTTTCTGCCAAAACCTCTTCTAAGGTATCTAACTCCTCTTCTTCCTTTATGCATCCTTTTGCAATCATTTTTACTTTGTTTTATTCACCTCCTTCAATCTATCATTACACAAGGGACTGTGTAATTTAAGTGTGGGGGAGGGCATTGCATTTAACTTTGTGTTTTGTTTTCTTATTTTCTCTTTTATATACTTGAGTCTCATGCATTCATGCATCCATCCATATGCACTAAAAAAAAATAAAAGTTTCAGAATTTTTGGAACCAAAAAGATCATTTAGTTGTATTTACATAACTAAGATTAGTCTAGATGCATTTCGTATAAGTTTGTAAACATTTTCATAGGGAGTAGATGATAAACACTTGTCAAGATGTTAATGTTTGGGTTGTTTTCAATGCCTTGGTTATCTGTTGTTTGATTGCATTGTAGTGAGTTTGAAGTTAAGGCTGCACCATATCTTGAATTCTTGCATTGATATTCTTGTCTTGTGCTCAAGCTTGCTTTGATTTGATTCCAACTCTATCTTATTAGAACCATAATTCTGACTTTGAATTATCTTGTTTGTGCATTGAGAGTGATTACATGGCTACCCATATACATACTTGGATTATCTTCTTCCTTTCTTACCACTCTTGTTAATCCAAGTAGCTGATCCTTATCATTATGGGACAGTTAACCACACCCTAAACCAATCCTTCTTTCTGAACCTAAACACTATTGTGAGAGTTGGGAGGTCTTGCATTGCATCATTTTTGATTTTATCTTGGCAAAAAGTGTTAGGAATAAGGCTGACAAGGAGAAGCTCTCTTGTAGACACCAGCTTGCATTTTGAGCTTGGTATTAGGTTAGGAGTTTGGAAAAGGGTAGTGTAAGTGGTTTGAGCTTTAAATGTTTACATCTTTTGGAAAGAAAAAGAAGTATGGGGTTGGTAGTATGGGGGAACAGTTTATTTTGTGGTTAAGTTAATTAGGAAGAAAGCCTTAAGTGTTAGAGAAGAAAGGTGCCAACAACAACAAAGCTTACAAAAGGTCATCCAAAAAGAGAAATCAGACCAAGCAATCCACCAAAGGTGATGAAAATGGCGTCAATCATACAACAAAGAAGAGCAAGTTCCAAAAAGAAGTCAACCACACAAGCAAAAGAAGGAGTTTCCCCAAATATGAAGAAGGAAGAGATCAAGTGCTTTGGGAAAGGGTATATTTAGGAATTTCACTTGGGGATTTATAAGTTATTAGGTTCATCTTGGGTAAAAAGGGTAGAAGAGAGCTTTGACTTGCATGTATAGGTGTGTTTTTACCTTTAGCATTTTGCCTAAGATAGAATCATTTCATTGAGTGATCCCCTCAATCTTTGAACCCTTATTTGAATGAGATCATTTTTATCTCATAACCATTTCCCTTGACCAAATGTTTTCTCTTGATTTGCACAAACATGATCCTTTGGTTACTAATTAATGAATGTTAAAAAGTTGGTTGATTTGAATGCTTGTGTAGGCTAAGCTAGAGTTCATTGTTTGCTATGATAGGTATGGCTAAAGCTTTTGAAGTAGAACAATCTCTATGCATCTTAGAACCTATAAATTGGGCATTGAATCAGTTTTTTCATTAACATTTTTAGTTTTGAGCTCCCACTTTCAAACCTCATTCTCTCATTTGTTCTTGTTTGCTTGAGGACAAGCAAAAGACAAGTGTGGGGGTGTGCCATTTGGGCAACAGATGGAATCAAAGTTTCTCCCCAGCCGATTGATCCAAACATCCGCCTCCATAGGCTTAGCACCACCGGTGAAGAACTTAGTCCCAAACTTCTGCATATGCTCCATGACCTTCAGGTAAGACGCAACTCTTGGTGCAGCCACAACTTCCACCTCTTCCACAGCCGGGTCATCATTCACAACCGGCAGTGGGTTCTCTTGGGCAGATGCAGCAGCCGGCAATCTCTGCAAGACTTGAGCCAGCATGCCCAACACCGCCTCCAATCTAACAGGAGCCGCAGCAGCAGCAGCAGCAGCCGCAGCATTGGCCGCCATGTTTCCAATCCCAGCATTTATCTCGGCTATCCCAGCATTAGCCGCAGCATTAGCCGTCATTTTCAGCGTTTTTATTCGATTTAGTCAAGCCGTTTTAAACATAAATGCATTACTTAGATAAAACAGGGTTCAAGCATACAATGAAAGTTCGCTATAAGCTAATAAAGTATGCTAAAAGCTATTACATTGTTCTACTTGACCACAGTCTACCCAACCCAAGCCTAACATCCTTCCTTTCCCGCCTTAGTCCCGCGGTCCAGATCAATTCCCTTCACGGGATAAATCACTTGCATCCACAAAAGGAGGCATAAGCAAACGAATTGCTTAGTGAGAGCGGTCATCCCGTCCCACTTAGCCACATTCAAGAAATCGCAACCAGACAATCCATTCAATTAATCAATAACTCTTAACAGTCTAATCTGGCTCACATGGCCCCGGCTCACAAGGATAACATCCGGCACAGAAGGCCAACATCCGGCGTACATGGCCAATATCCGGCACACATGGCCACATCCGGCACAAAAGGCCCATAATCGGCTTACTAGCCTTACTATTATCAAACAGCGTATTGAATAATAATAGCAATCAGACAGAACAGTTTAAGCATTCAATGACTAATCGAATCTATGCAAGGAAACGATCCTAAACATGCAACCACGGTCACGCACTCACCTTAGTTAATCGGCAATAGCAAGATCTATGGAATAGCCGACGGTTTGCTGATGATCTCTCGGATCTAGTAACGTTTCTCACGGACCTGGATGAATTCTCTCGACGATAGTCGGAATCACCCGGCTATCTCTTAATCGGATTCGGAAGCGCTCGACAATTCTCACGGTGAAACTACAAACTCTCAGACAACTTTCTCTCTCGGTTATCTGTTCTCTTTTGTCTCAAGTCTTTCTCTGTTTGTCTCGAAGAAGTGTGCATAATCATGAAGTTTCCGAACAATGCTAAGTTAAAAGACGATTCTCGGCAATAACTGTCCTTTAATCCAATCAGCAGCGTCTCACTCGAGTGACTAAGTGCCAGTAACCGTTCCCGCACTTTTCCACTCGATCAATTTGACTTAGCCGAGCCAGATTAACGTTTCCAACCTTTAACCGGCGAAATTGGCTTGGTTTACTAAAATAGCCGATCTGATTTAGGTTTATCCGAGCAGTTCTCTCGGATATAGTCCATAACCACTCCCGCCTAAATTTATCCGAGTCTTTCTATTAATTCCCCCGGATATTACCGCTCCCGCTCAGTTATATTATTAACTTGGCGGATATAAAAATATACTATTCGATAAATCCACTAAGTCTCTCAATCAAACTAGCTTCGTTCGAACAAAAATAACCAACCTGTCCGAATCCCGACCAATGGCCCGAGAAATACGATTTGTCTGAATTCCATTTTCACTCGGACATAATCAGCTCAGCTCAGTTCAGACTTCACTTAACTGACCTGTCTGAAATCCGGCCAGCTGTCCGAATTTTGCGGACTGTCGGATTTTCACTTGTCTGAATCATTCTTCTCGGCTAAAACACTCGATCCAGCTCATTTTACCTCGTCTATTCTTCTTTCTTATGATAGCCCAATCTTTGTTCAGTAAACCCCCGAGTTTTTCCTATTCATAGTCTTATTCCCGATCATTTCGATCCGCAGATCACGGGCGTTACAGTAACCATGGTTTAGCTGTAACAGGAAGAATTCTACGAAATGAGAATGAAGAATGGTGTGGAGGTTTTGCACTAAATATAGGGAGATGTATATCACTATTGACAGAACTATGGAGAGTTTATTATAGGTTATATATTGCTTGGGAGAAGAGGGTACCGAGACTGGAGGTAGAGATTAATTCAGAATTGGTGGTAGATTTTCTTAAGACAAAGATCAGAGATTCGCATTCACTGTCCTTCGTGGTACGTTTATACCATGGCTTCATTGCAAAAGACTCGGTAGTCTGTATTTCCCTTGTATAAGAAGGCTAATTGTCTAACTAATGGATTAACTAACTATGCATCCATTCTTCCACTAGATTTCATGGTTTGTCTTCAGTTCCACTAATTTAGTCTCGCTTTTGCAGAATAATGTAATGGAATCTGCGCGTCCAAGGAATGTTCGCATTGTTTAGTTTGTGTTTTTTTTATGAATAAATGCTCCCATATCACTCACCAAAAAAAGAAAGAAAAAAACTAAACCTGAATGTGATCCTGCCATTTCCTGAGATGTCTGTACATATTTTATGAAGTCACTTAGGGTAATTTTCCAATGTTGATCATAATACAAGAACAAAACATCTCTTCTCTATACAATCTTCCTCCTACCTATCGCCTTCCATGTTGTCAAGATGAAAGCTACAACTACTGCTTAGACGCTCGCCTACCTGAAACGTAATAACTCTCATAAGTGGGAAACTCAAATCATCCAAAAACATATCAAAAGTCAAAAGACAAACTCAAGAAATCAATTAGGCATTTATCAGCTCAAAAACAAGCTATGTGAACTTACTAGATTGATTACCCAGGAAATCGAGAAATGGTTAAGTCTTAAATGAAACCGAAAACAAGACAAGAAACTTTAGTTGTAACCGATGATGATGGAGAAGTATATATCATACCTGTATTTCTGGTCCTGCACAATTGAGTCCTTTCAGGTTGAGCTTTTTCCACATACGGAGCAATCAAGGTATCCAATTTTACCAGCCAGAGAGCAATGGCAGAAGTAGTTTGAGGCATAGAAGAAAAGCAAGATATAACTTCTCCCAATAAAGTAGAATGCTCTTCATTACCAGAGTGCCATAACCAATCTTCATTGATTGCCCCAACAAAGTCGCCAATAACCTTCAGATATTGCAGACCATATTTTACGATTAAGATGCAGTTAGAGAACAATCAATTTGAGTTAACATAAGGCGCCACAAGAAATGGGAGCTTGCATAATAAAATGAATACCTGCGTTATTGCAGACAAAGTTGAGCTTCGTCGAAGTCTTTTGGCCCATAACCTATGAGCTGACTTTTTCCATGCACCAATCAAGGCATCTTCAGGTATAGCAGACTGCAAAATGTTATAACACAAACAAGAAAGAGATGCATTTCTTAATACAAACCAAGAAAGTAACAAAATCAAAGCACGCTGAAAAAAGTAAAAGCAAATGACTACTGACAGACCTCAATGGCATACACTGCAGCCTTTAGTGATTGCAACTGGGAAGATAGAACTTTATGATCTGGAAACGTATCATTCTCTTCATTCTTCCTACATGTGGCCACATGAATCGCATATCTTTCTTCAAGATCTATATCAACCTCAAATGTAGCATGACAAATCTTACAGTGCTTCTCATCTCTCCAAAACAAATCATGACAACTCTTGCACCTAGTAAGTGAATCAAGGTAGGATCTTCGGTTGTGTTTAACAGCATTGAGATTCAAATAAAAATTACCCCATATCCACTCATCAAACACCTGAAGAAGGCTCCACAATAGGCTTTTCTCCCGCTTACTTCCGATCTCAAATACTATAGCCGCTTTTTGCAAGGAGAACTGATCATTGGCAATCTCAATCAGACATTGATTGTTGTCTATATCAGAAACCGGTGAAGAACTGTCCTCTCTGCCTATATCTGTGAAACGGTCTATCCCCAACTGGGTCACATGACTACTCAACATGACTTGGCAAAGAAAACTTTCCCGTTTCTCCAATGAGTCAATAAGACGAGCTTCCCGTCTTCCCCTATCGTCCAAAACTGACAACAGTGCTCGCAAAGCCTACACAAAGTAAAGAGAGGAACATGTTAGGCAAAGTAATCATACATCCTTCAATACAGGTTTCCATTTAACCATGCCTAGTACACAGAGTCATCAAGATTTCAAGACGAGCACAATACAGTACCTCCTTGTCGCTGATAACTTCCCAGTGACCATCTTCACTGGATTCAAAGTACACACACCTATGACCAGGGTCATTCACATTGCATGGGCCTAAGAAAAGCCAGTACCTGTTGAACCTACGATCAGAACCAAGGTATACAGATTGCATAGGGTGACAATTATTAGCTTTATCTCCAGGCAGCTTTGCAAAGGCCCCTACAACTGATGATGAATCAACTGGGCGAGAATCAGACGATTTAGGTAGCTCTTTCACTCCATGAAGCTCTCCTCCATGGACCCATGATACGCGTGGATAGCACTGACTAGAGGAGGATCTCTTAATTTTTCCACCAGAGCCTCGATTATAGATACTAGGGGCGTCAACCATAGCTCTTGGTAAAACCTGTGGAGCAATATTAAAGTTAGCACTACGCACCAAGGATATATAGCTGTTACAAAAATCATTTGCCATTTTATTTTCTTAAGTTTCAGAAAGAAAGGTTTTCAACTTTTAAGTTCATCTACAGAAGCAATCATTAGTCAAGGAGTCACCCAAATCACATGAACCGAACGTCCAACTGAACTTTCATTATAGATGCAAAAATGAAGTGATCTAACACAGGTTTTAAAAGTTATTCAGCACTTCAGGAGTTAGTGGGAATATTTGCTCTAGATAGTCTGGGGATTACCTCCAATCTAATAGTGGAACCAGAACTAAGAAGTTCAATCAAAGCCACAAAAACATCTAACTTCTCTTCAATGCTTAGGTCTGAATATTCCCCTTCCATAAGCCCCAATAGCCATGGTTCTCCAGGATGGCTTTCATCAATCTCACTACATACTTCCATAATTTTACTTATATGCTTCCGCCTTTTCCTACTCTTATCTTTCAGAACGGTAAGAATTTCTGAAATTCCCACGATCTCATCACCAGAACTAAATGAGCAATCATCAGATTCATCATCAACACTCCCAGACTCGTCTGGATCAGACTGGCTCTTATCAGGGTCCTCAGGGAAACAATTAACACGTACACGATATGTTGATTCAGATATCTTTTCAAATAATGTAATATCACTTGCCAAAGTTGAGCATATTGCACGCTCTCGTTCTTCTGATGCAGTTGCAAGATTCAGCACAGCCACCTACAAATGACCAATCATTATGAACTCGTACCCAAAATCACACACGTCATCAGCTATTTCATTAGATATAATCTAGAAAGCAGCAGAACACAAAAAGATTCAGCACAACCTATCAATTTTAGTCCAAACTATATATTGTACTTACAAATACAAGCTGATAGTAATTTTAAAATAATTTACCTCTGCTGCATTGGCTAACTCGGATATTTTCAAGCCACTATTGCCTTGCTCATTAAGCATTCTGAATAATTCACCTTTTAAAGTTCCAAGACGAAGGCCATACTTTTTCATGAGTCTCCTTTCCTAGAGGAAGAAGAAAGGTAGAATCAAGAAACAATGCAACAGAAAAGAAAATAAAACACTAAACAACATACACAAGTGGATATAAATAACAAAATAAAATTGAGCAAGAGTCTTCGATATCGCACATGTAACGAATTCATCTTCAAGAACTACACAAATTCATACTAATTTCTGAACTACGAAAGAAAAGAACAAGAGAAGTATCATGGTCTTGCATAAAATATACACTTTCGTTGGATCAAAAGTGTCAACAAGAGCACGAAACCAGCACCTTACGTAGTTCTTCTGGTTGAACAGCACACTTCGCTGAACCAAAACCAGCTGCAACCAATATCTGACGCAATACTTCTGTCCATGTAAGAGAATTTAATGAATTCTTCCACAGATCAAGAATACGAATTTGGCTCTCCACCTGAAAAAAGATCACGGAGAATGTAAACTTGTCCCGCAGTGCTCGTTTCTGACACGTCTATGAAAAAAACTATTAAAAGAAGCATGCCTAAGGCCAAAAATAACTCAACATTAGAGCATACCGACTGAAGCAGCGCTAGAAACTTGCATGATATACTCAGGTTTGAAAAAGATCCCCTTTGCAGTTCGGTTTCAACATCAAGCAGAAGCAGCTTCAGCAGGGAAAGGTGAATTTTACCAAGGAGCAAGGAATCCTGAGTTTTAAACGCAAGAACAGAAAGAGGAAATGCAATATGCATTATTTGTCTGAAAGAGAAAACGATAGTGGGAGAGATGTGGGAGACAGGAACAATTTCTTCACAACAGAAAAATGTAAGAGATTGACCATTTGTTATCAAAGAAGAGAGACCACCTTGTCATGAAATGCCCGTGTGAACTCGTCAAGTGTAAAGGGACATATATCAAGAGTTACTGAATAAGAATAAAGGAAATGGACAACCTGTAAACAGAAGTACTAGGTCACTTCCAAGAAAGCCGGTAATGAGAGGTAATTTAGAACACATTAATAAATCACCAAGTGCAACCTTTGACAGTTAACACACCTTAAACAGTTTCTTCACTGACTCTGGAGACGAATTCCATGGATGCAAACCAAAAGGCATCCTCATTTGAACAGAATTTGGGGGAAACTTAGGCAATAAATCTGGAAACAGCAAAAATCTGTCAGAGAATTCATGGCACTGGTCATATAACATAGTATTTAAACGAGAACTTAGTATTTAAACGAGAACTCCTTCAGAATTGAACAAAGACAAATGACATACATACCTTTGCAAAGAAAACAGCCATGAGATCCACTACTAGGAAGATGGCATGAACATGTCAACGGATTTGCTCCCTCCTGTCGCTCACGCATTTCCAATTCCTCGTCATCCACTAGTACCGAAATTGTTTGGCAGGTTTCTTTAAATACCTCCCCATCCACACCAAGCTCACATTTTTCTTCAAATGCCCTTTGAGTTTCATCCTTCTTTACTTCCGCCTGCAGCAAGAGTCAAATCTCTGTTTGCATGTGACTATATTGAATCACAAGTTCCAAGTAATGATCAAGCTACCTCTCTGTATGTAGAAAACATCTTCTTTTCCGTCGACCTCTTCTGCAACAGTTTCTGCTTCTAAAGAAGGTAAATTGCAGTTAGCAAGCAGTTCAAAAGAAATAGGCAAACAGAAAAAGGATGAACCATAATTATGAAAAGATAAATAGGTAAGAAATACCAGTATTGATGCTAATTGTCTTTGGTTATTCTTTTGATATGAGGGATTACGTGCTGAGCTTTGAGGTAATGTTGCTCTTTCATCCAACAAATCAACACAAGAAGATACATCCCTGCTATTTCGATTCATTACCCGCCAAACTGTCATCAAACCCTTGCCCATACCATGTTTCTTCACACTAGCATTCTTTTCAACGCAACCCTGACTAGTGTGATCCATTAGCTCCGAAATCTAAAGCAAATAAATATCAGAGACTACGTTACTTTGCGTATCCAGGTGAAAGTATGAAAGAGCAAGTAAGATCTATCCACTACCTTTCTCTTTCTTGCCACTCTATGATTCTGTTGTTCGACAGATGAAGAATCCAGCCAAGAGGCTACCATAAAGGAAAGAAGTCCAGGTCAACATAACTACACCATACTCTTTTAAATCATGCAGAAATTAAGTCACAATCATCCAGAGTCCAATTATCCATTCATGGAAAACCTAATATGAAAGCACTAACTTCACAGCAACAGTATAAAGCCTTCTTTTTTATAGTAAAATTTTCAGAGATCCAAGCCAATTTTCACAGGGCATATAGGCTATATCTTGCAATGAAGCCAAAATGGTTACTATACCTTTGCGTGCTCCAGATGGGAGACGGTCAAACTCAAAACCAAGCGATGGACCATCCTTCCGAAAAATCTTGGCCAAAATGTGCTGTGAACTCAACAAGTTCTGACAATTGGCCTTCTGTGTTCCCACACTACATCTTTTCTCAACAGCTACTCCAAAACCGCATCCGGAAGATGTCGAACTCCTCTTTCCTCCCACCCTAACATTCGTCAGGGATTTTGAATCTTTCCTTCTACTTCTTCTTCTCTTGAACCATCCACGTACTTCCTTCACTGTTAACCCTAAAGACTTGCCCAACTCCTCCAATTCCGTAGGAGTAGGATACATTTTATCTGCTTTCACAAATAATGATAACTTTCAGAGACAGAGATAGATATTATATACAAGAGGCCATTTCTAGAGTATTCTCTTACAAAATGATAAAAACCCAAAATCTAACATATCATTTTGTGTATACTACTTTCAAAAAATAAGATTTTGGTACCCAAATAAAAATCCTCAAGAGCTTGAACTTGTACTGTCGATTTCCTCTTCATTTCCACTTAAATAAAACACAGAAATCTGGTACTCTCAATAATCTAAACCAGGCGGATGATAGTCAAAGCCGTCTCCAACATTCTGCAACATCAAGCAATGAAACTATCTACATCATTACACAATTATAGATATCAAACCATAAGAACATGCGATCACCACTTGATCTGACACTTCTCTATATACAAAAAATCCAAAATTCCCGGAAATGTATTCATCAAAAAAGGGGGTTTAACACAAAATCGCGTCCGATTGTAGACACAAAAAATCAGAAACAATCACCCCAAAATTTAGATTCCCAAAGTGGCTTAGACTGTAAAATGGCAACACTGGAGACCCTAAAAGGTGTTAAGATAAGAGTAATAGTGAAATTAGAGGCAAAGAGTCGAGAAATTCGAAAATCCCATTGGAATTGAAGATACCCAAGTCTCAGTTTCAGCGAAATTGGTTGAAAACCCACAACAAAATGATGATGATTGCTGACTAAGAACAGTCACCACACAAAAAAAATCTAGAAAATTACAAGCAAGGAAGCTTACAGAGAGTGAAAGAGGACCAGAGAAATGGAAGAAGGAAGAAGGAAGAAGAGTAAGAATTTACAAGGAGAGAGTAGGGTTTTGGGTTTTTTTATCATCTTCCCGTCTTTCGCTGAGTCTGGGGTTTTAGTTTACGGATATTTTTTTTACACTCTTTTTTTTGTTCATATAATAACTAAAAATATCTCTATATTCAGAACGCGACGTCGTTTCTGTAAGACTCATTAGGGTTTTTCGGGAAAACCGGTTGAAGCCGGTTACTAAAGATTGTGCCGGATTTACTTTGCTCTCGGAACTCTCTGAGATATATGTAATAAGACCTACGAATTTCCCGGTCATCAATTTTGCCTTACTGTTTCATCGTCTTCCTTCTTCGATGGAAGGAAAGAATGCGAAAGATGAGAAATCGGCAAAAGCAGCTTCAACGATTCCGAAACGACCTTATATTAAATCTCAATCCGCTTTCGACTATTCTATCAGGAAGCAGAAGGTTCCTCTTCGATTCTCTCCAGTCAGTTTCTGTTTTACAAAATCTGAATCTCTGTTTTTATGTTAATAGTTCTGAATTGGGTTTTTGTAGATTCTCAAGCTTTGTTTCGTTTCTTTTATTTCGTTTCGTTTACTCTACCTGGAAGCAGAAGTGTCCTTTCAATTTATGTTTTTATTTTAATACATGAATCTATATTATATGTTAATAGCTCTGAACTGGATTTTCGAAGAATTTCAATTTTGCTTCGTTTGAATTTTGGTCGTATGGTATGTTGATCTAAAGAACAACTTTTGTAGAAGGTTTTTTTACTAGTTTCTGATTAGTGTTTTTATTATTTGGGTGTTATTTGTGTTATCATTCTTGTTCATTTTTCTGAAATGTAGCTCAGAGAAAGTTGCTTCAGGAGAGTTAGAGAAGAGAGGACACGTCTGCTGTGGAAATTAAGGTACTCTGATTGTCAATCTTCAGATCAAAAGGTATGTTTTCTCTTTTTGTTGCAATCCCCAAGAAGAAACATGCTTTGTTTTAAGCTTTGTCGAATGACTTTATGTTACAGGAGATTATACATTCTGCTTTCCGGGAAATTGTCACTGATGAACTAAAAAAGATTGAGGATTCGTCGAGAAACCTCTCAGGAAATCCGAATGTAACTCCTGATTCCGATGATATATTATGGGAATACGAAGGTCCAAAATATACTTGTGAAGGTGATAGTGAAGTTATATTGCTAGAAATGCAACAGATATTCTACAATGAGTTGATATCAGAGACTACTACCAGAAACGGTAAACCAATTTAGTTTTGTTTCCATGAGACTTCCAATGAAAAGTAATCAGATTTGGACGATGAACTTTTTTTTTCAGGATCATATGTTCAGATCGAAACATGGGAAGACGAAGAAGATGATTACTTGGCAGACTTAGTTTCTCAACATATGCTATTAAATAGTGAACACGTAGGCTCTCTTTGCAGAATACTTCTTAAATCTGAGAAAAGAGTTAAATGGTAATGATGTGTTTGTCAGGAGCAAAACCAGATATGGTGTCCGATATGCAAGCAAGGTGAGCTTACAGAGAATCACCAACATATCTATTGCAGCAGGTGTGATATGCAGCTGAACATAGGCGAAGAGGTGCACATTCTTTGTCCTTTAAGCTCTCTTTGCTACTCTTAGCCATTGAACTTGTTCTTTGAATTTTTTGTTCTCTCTCTAATTCCATTATTTTCCATCAGGTTAATCTGAACATTCTGCAAGAACGGTTAGCAGAAGCACACTCTGAACATCTCGAGAGAGGATGTAGATTAAAACCCAAGTTCAGTTTACAGAGTCTCTATAATTTGAAGGCGTTGTACATAACATGCGAAGCTTGTAATATCTTTGAGGTCGTTGTATAAGCTCTAACTTAAAGGATACACAACTTTTCCTGTATATAACTCAAGAGATCTCCGATAAATCTCTGGTTATTTGGTCACTCGCTAGACCCGGACTGATTAACCTTTTCCAGCTTTGATTCCACTTCGTAAGGACCATAGAACCGAGCTGGTAGCTTCTCATTGGCACGGCGTCTTTTTGAGAAACACTCGATCTCCTCAATGATGTTCATGTCTTATACTTATTTGCCTTATTCTTTATCAACGGCTGAGCCTTGTGATTGTTGGATTTTACTCTACTCAACTAATCTATTCTACTTATGCCATTGTAGTATTTGAGATGTTAAGTTCAAATAATAACAAAAATGGAAGAAGGTTTTTAATTCAAGCAAGGTGAATGAAGTTTGTTTTTATCACCCTAAATGAATAAGAAAACAAGACTAATATCAACCAAACTCAAACAATTATATTATTAATTGAGAAGTTGGGCTATGGTTAAGAGTTATAATGGTTGATTACTCTTTGCTCTTTATATGAAAATATTTTATTTATTCATAATAAAATTAACTAATTAATATAATCTAATTTTTAATTAATTTTTGTTTTTTTTTTAAATCTAGATTTTCAAATTTGAGTTTATATCATAAGAATATTCAGTTTACTGGAAAAAAAAGTAACTAGCATAAATCACAAAAAATCAAACCTATTTATTTTATTAATTTTAATTTGATCGTTTAATTTACTAATATTTTTGACTATCCTAATTGATTTATGCGGCCACAAATAAATTTTTAATACCATTATCTCCACTAGGTTTAATGAAGAGAAATAGAGTCTCAGAGAACTCACCGGCAAGCTCTTCCAAACCATCACCAACGTAAAAAAAAATTCTTCTTTAGAGTTTTGTTTTCTCCTGGTTTCTTGGTGAATAAGGTAGAATGTTTTAATGCACAAAATTCTTTCTAATGTTTAGATTGATCTATGATTGTTGTTTCTTGTGTGGAAGTTGGACTGTGCGGCAAGGTCAAAGAGCAGCCCAGATGCTGAGAAGTATTAAGATACAGAGTTTTTGAGTCTCTTTCTCAATCACCCATGCTTGTACTGGCCATTGTAGTATATCAAAAGTTTTATCAATCCAATGGTCCAAGATAGATACCAATAGGAATGCAATAGAAGCCTTAAGTCAAGCCAAAGCAAGAAGCAAGTTGTTTAAACTACTAAACTAATCAACCTAGTGAACCAGAGACTAAGCAAGACTAATGAAAGCAATACTTTAGCAATGATCAAACACAAAGCATAGCAAATAGAACAAAGCAAATGCAAATTCGAAATTCAATAATAAAGAGCAAGGATCCTAGATATGGTTATTGGGTTTGGGAAATTTAAAAGTAAGACTAGGCTGTTATCAGTCTCATTAACAATGCAAACAAGCAAGTAATGCTAATTCCTAGGCATAGAGTTCACAATCAAATAACTTAAATCTAATCTCTTGGCAAATAACACTTTGCTAATCATCCTAATAAGAACTATCTCTTATTAGTGCTAGAATCAATAGCAAGCAAGTTCAATAAACTCTATTCAAGCCAAAATACTTCTTAGACAATCAATGTCTTGAGCTAAGACAAGTAAATCCTCTAAAAGACAAGATCAACATTTCATCAAATACTTGGTGGGCAAAAGAGAAAGCCTAAATCTAGATTCATGTGGTTAAGACAAATCTAACCTAAAAACAGTATAATAGAGAAGAATCAATCAATATTAAGCACTAACAAACCCTAATCAAGCCTTAAATTCCCCTAATCTACCATATCTAAGAACCTAAAGGAGACTACTCACTAATCATCATCAAAACCATCAAATAAACAAGGATTAAGGAGTTAATCATGATTAGGGAGAAGGATTTAGAAAGATTAGAATGGCAAATACAAAAACTTAGATTATAGGAAAGATCTTGTTCTTACAAAAACCAGAAAGCAATTAAGAGACAAAAGCAAGAACAAGACTTTCTAAAATCCTTAGGTTAAAGAGTATTTATACTTAATGGCAAAAATCCTAAAGCAATGGCATTCTTTTAAATAAGTTCAGTTCGGATAAGGTTGACATCGAGCCAGGAGCTCGATGTGAGTGCTCGATGTTGCTCCCTCGGATGCTTGACATCGTGCAGACTGGCTCGATGCTGATGCTCAATGTGAATCTTGGTAGTCTTGGGCCAAAGATGTTGTGCGATGTGAATGCATGACATCTATGTCCTGTGGCTTGACATCGTGCTGTCTTGCTAGCTGTGAATGCTCGATGTGAACTCCTTTCTTCTCGGGCGCATTGCATCGTGCGATGTGGACTCCATCAAGCCGATGCTGGGCCAAAATTCCACTTCCTTAGCTCCTATTGATCCTTGATATCTCTCATATTTGCATCATTTAGGCTTGCATTTAGTTCATGTTTTAGTCTATTTTTGCATGTTTTCCTTCTCTCTCGTCCCATTTTCCTTTGCTTTTAGACTTAGGTTGCATTTAGGCTGTAGTTTGCATTTTCTTTGCATAAGGGATGTTTTTAGGTACTTAAGGAGTCATTGGAGGCAAGGAGGAAGCATGAGAATGATTCAGGGAGATGTCCAAGCCAAGGAGAAGCAAAAGGAGCTAAGGAAGTGGAAATTTTGTTCAATATCGAGCAAGATGTAGTCAGCATCGAGCGATGTAAACCAGCTGAGAGGATGGGAATCAACATCGAGTGTCCACATCGAGCAACCCTGCTTGATGTCAAGCCACATGACATCCACATCGAGCATCAACATCGCTCAATGTAATGGACCCGAGAAGACTGGACTTCAACATCGAGCATCTACATCAAGCACAACCTGCTCCATGTCAAGCATCAGAAGACTCACATCGAGCATCCACATTGAGCATGTTAGCTCGATGTGGGCCTTATCCGAAAACCTTTTATTTATAACTTTGCCAATGCTTTAGGGTTGTTGTCATTTAGTATAAATACCCTTTAACCAAGGGTTCTTAGAAAGTCTTGTTCTTCCTTAGTTTTTCTAATTTCTTTTCTCTCTTTGTAAGAACAGGATCCTTATTTCAATCTAAGTTTTTGTATTTGCATTAATTAATCTTCTCTAATCTCTCTCTTAATCATGTTTAACATCATTTCCCCTTGTGATTTGATGTTTTTCATGATGATCATGTGGTAGATTAGGAGAATTTAAGATTTGATTAGGGTTTGTGTTTAATAATGATTGATTCCTCTCTATTAGGTTGTTATTAGACTAGATTTGTTTTGATCACATGAATCTAGATTTAGGCTTTCTCTTATACCTACCAAGTGTTTGATGAAATGTTGATCATGCCTTTTAGAGGGTTTACTTGTCTTAGCTCAAGAGATTGACTGTTTAAGAAGTATTTTGGCTTAAATAGAGTTGGTTTAGCTTGCTTATTATTGATTCTAGCACTAATGAGAGTTAGTTCTTGCTAGGATATTTGGCAAAGTGTTATTTGCCAAGATATTGGATTTAACTTGCTTGATTGTGAACTCTATGCCTAGGATTTATTATTGCTTGCTTGTTTGCATTGTCAATGAGTTTGATAACAGCTTTGTCTTGCCTTTGAATTCTCCAAATTCAATAACCACATCTAGGATTCTTGCTTTTATTATCTAAATTTCGAATTTGCTTAGTACTCTGTTTTTATTGCTCTGTTCTGTGTTTGATCATTGCTAAGTGATATCTCCATTATTTATACCATTTTAGCTTGCATTCATCACTAGTTTTAGTCTTTAAACATGCATATTTTACTTTTTATTGTCCCATTTGAATACATTTAGAATTTAGTGTAGTTTTAGGAGCTGCATTGCATTTTGCATGCATTTGGAGTTTTATTCAGGTACTTGAAGGAGTGTGGAGGTCATGCAGTGCAATGGGTGTGAGCTGGGAAAGGAGCAAGGCAAGAGACAAAAGCGGATGGACCAATATCGATGTTGATATCGACATCATGTGATCGATACAGAGCATATCGATGGGAGTATCGACCACTTCAGCATCGATACAGTAGAGGCATAGTGAGAAGGAAGCATATCGGCTAAAAGACACCTCGATGCAACAGAAGGGAGTCCATATCGAGCAGTGTATTGATGCCTCAAACTGATATACATGACAGGATAATACCGAGGTGCCATATCGACTTGCTTGATCGATGAGCCTTAACTAAAAGGCAATTGTATCGACTTCACACCATGAAAAGCCTTATCTATTCTTGTTTATTCTGCTTCCTAATCATGCTTAACCATCTTTTCTCTTTTGAATTTATGGTTTTTATTATGGCTAGTGAGTAGTCTTATTTAGGGTTTGAGATGGGATAGATTAGAGGGGTTTAGGACTAGATTAGTGATGCCTTGTGCTTAATATGATTGTCTTCTCTCTATATGATGTGCTTAACACTAGATTAGTCTTGGTCAGGCTTGTTTAGTATCTTGGCTTTCTCTTGCACCTAGTAAGTCTTTGATGAAATGCTGCTTAGAGTCTCTTAGAAGATTTGTATGCTTAGCCTAAGGAATTAGATGTCCAAGGTGCATTTTGGCTTTATAGGATTGGAGTTCTGTTCTGGGTGCTTGCTGATCATGTGTTTGAGTAGAGGGATTTAACTTGAATGTGTGCTTAGCAAAATGATTAGTATCAAAGAATTGAGCTAGTTATAGTTGTTAATCCTATGCCTAGAAGATAGCATTGTTTGAATGGTTTTGAAGCATCACTAGTTAGGTTCTAATCCCCTCTTAATCAATAACCCCCATCTTAGATCCTTACTTCACATATTTGACTTGTTTAGTTTTGCTCACAACTGCTTTCTTGAATTTAGCTTGACTTAAGTGATTTGCTGTATTCTTAGTGTCTTAAGAACTCAGATGGATTGATACCTTACATGCTGCAATGACATGAGTGTGTTAGGATTTGATAAGCTAGTCAATTTACTGCTATCAAATTGGCGCTGTTGCCATATGGGTTTAGATTAAGCATTAGGATTTGTGGATTGTTTAAGATGAAGCTGTTATTTTTTCTTTTTGTTACTGATTTGCAAGCTGCTCTTCTGCTTATAGGTGTATGAACATGAAGTCTAAAGGCAATCCAAACCTTCTGGACTATCAACACAACATTCTGCAAGTGGAAAGAGCATTAAGAGCAACAAGGAAAAGAGAGAGACTGCAAAGGTTTCATCAGCTCAACATGGAGCATGGTATAGATGATCAGCGATTTCATGGACCA